CTTGTATGTAGCAAGCACACGGCTTCCTTATATTGTTTTCCTACCCGGTTATTTTGGAACAGTGTCTGTTCCAAGCTAAGTATTGCTTCCAAATCTGCATTAACTACAACTGAAGGCTGGCGAGCAAATTCCCATTGGCGTAAGTTATGTTACAGGATTACTGATCATGAAAAGAGTAATGGACAAGGAGAATGCTATCTAGCATAGCATGAATTTGAACAACGTCTTTCAACAGTATTGATAATTTTTTTAAATTATCAATTAAAGTGGAATAGAAAAAATGGTACCAAATTTTGAAAAAAAATAATGGTTGTCATACTTTTCTGAGGAGAACTTAGTCTTGCTTTTCAGAGATCTTCGCAACGCATTGGTAATTCAAATAATGGAAACTTTTTAAGTTTGATAGAGTTGCTTTCTATCTGGGACCTATTCTAAAAGAACATGTTCTAAAAATTGATTGAGTCACAAAAAAAAAGCCAAAATACTGCAAGTACATTACCTCTCAAATGGTTCCCAAAATTAGTTAATTGCAGAACGTTCTGATCTTGTTAAGCAGCATGTTTTGGAAGAAGACATTCTGTAAAGTACTACGCAATAATTGTAGATTCTAAAACAAATTCATTACATGTTGATCACATTTTACGTTACCTAGTTCGCCATGAATCGTGATATAAAATTTTGGAACGATTTTTAAAATTTGTAGATTGTAATGACAAAAATGGTTCTGAAATCTCTTAAATGATTACAAAAACATTAGAAAGTAATGCTATTTCATATGTGCCAATATATAGCGACATATTTGGCGCAAATATGTTGCATTGTCATAGCAACATATTTGCATCAAATATGTCGCTATGAAAATGCGCCAAATATGCAGGCTAATATAAAGGAACACAAGCTATAATAAAAGAACAGTGTCCTACTGCTGTGTTTTCTCCATGTGGCTGCCACACACTCAACTCGTGTGGTAATGATGATGCTGAATGTATTCCAGAAGCCATAACCTATTTGGAACTATGCAAACAGTATACACTTGTATTCAATTGTAGTCCGAAAACAGTATACACTTGTATTCAATTGTAGTCCGAAGAGATGGAAATATTATCTTAGCGTATTGGTTGTCCTCTTCACTGCATATCTGGTATCAGGTGATCAGATCGAATAGAGAGTGGCAAACTAATTGTAGCTTACCTTCCAGAAGTAATACTGGCTCTGGAAAACCTGCTCCAGCTAAATGTTACTCCAAAAACTAGAAACAAGATTATTGGGGCAATTTATTATATTACTACCAGTAGACAGGTAAAGTATATCAAAGTAAATCATAATGTCAGTAGTGTGACACAGAATATTAATTCCTATTGATATTTATAACAAAGTCATTTAAGCCAGTAATACAACTTTAGATATGGAAGTTTCAAATATAGAAAGCTTACTTTCACAATTAGTAACTATTCGTGGCAGTTAGAAAACAATGTGGAATGAAGCTAAGCTTGTTACACCTAGCCGTGATATAGAAATAAATTTGTTTAGGGAATAATAGAAGAAAACAATTCCACAATAAAAATGTGAATAAAATGAGTGAACCAGGCGAATCTTCCTTGGAATCCTAGTTCTAAAAGCTTGTTTTTTATATAACATTGAATAATGTTATTGGGGGACTTACAGATCGTTTTAGCGCCGAAAAAAAAATTTCTAAAATACTCAGCTTTCTTTGGAACTAAAAAAAAAGAATCTAAAGATATAGTACAAGAAATGAAATACATAACAATGATTCACAAAGCCAATTTCGGGACAAAACATTTAGGTGCACTGGAAATACTAAATGCTTTGGCAGAGTGCAAACTAGAAAGTATATAGCCAAACCTCAGTGTCAGTTTGAAGTTATTTATTACAGCCCTAGCAACAGCAGCATTAGCAGAAAGGAGTTTTAGCAAGCTCAAACTTATTAAAAATTATCTCTGGTTTACCATGAGTCAGGATCGCCTTAACGACCTAGCTAGACTAAGTATCGAGTCTGACATTGCAAAACATATAGACTTTGATACAGTAATACGTAAATTTGCGAAGAAAAATGCGTGCAAGTCAACCTTGCTTTAATAAAATTGTTCTATTTAACAACATTTCTATCATTTATAGATCTTCTATTGTTTTTTTTGTTTTGTTTTTTCATATAAAAAGATTTTTTCAAAACCTTTTTATTTGAAATTATATATATATATATATATATATATATATATATATATATATATATATATATATATATATATATATATATATATATTATATATATATATATATATATATATATATACTATATATATGTATATATAGTATATATATATAGTGCTTTCATATATATATATGTATATATATATATATATATATATATATATATATATATATATATATATATATATATAGATATATATACATATATATATATATATATATATATATATATATATATATATATATATATATATATATATATATATATATATATATATATATATATATATATATATGTATATATATATATATATATATATATATATATATATGTATATATATATATATATATATATATATATACATATATATATATATATATATATATATATATATATATATATATATATATATATATATATATATATATATATATATATATATATATATATATATATATATATATATATATATGTATATATAGTATATATATATAGTGCTTCCAATACCGGTATTACCGGACATTTTTAAGTACCGAAATACCGGTATTGGTTTGGCTCAATACCGGTATTAAAAATATATGTAGAGGGCTGATGATATAGCAGGTGCTATCGCCCTCTTTACGCTTCCGGTAGGAAAAAGATAGCTAGATGAGAAAAGACGTGTTTAAATTGTCTAAAACAAGTATTCTACGTACTTTATACTTAATATCTAGTTGCCAGCTCATTTCCCACTAGGTTTGGTAGGAAATGAGCTAGCAACTAGCCAGCGAACAGCTAGCGTTTAAGACGTATAAAATACGTAGAATACTTGTTTTAGACAATTTAAACACGTCTTTTGTCATCTAGCTATCTTTTTCTTACCGGAAGCGTTGTTTGATCGTGACTGGAAGTTTTAAGTATTCCATTTACTTTCGTGTTTTCATTAAATAATGAAGCACCAATTTAAAATATTATCATTACGTCACTCCTTTAATGTAGAACGCATGTTTGAATTTTGCACTAACGTAAATATGAAAAGTTTCGGTAATGTAAAAAGTGGGGCGTTTAAGTAACTGTGATCAACAGTTGTGCATTAGGCATGGGATTCAACAAGGTATTCAAGATATTTAGTACAAAAAAATTGTCAATTTCTGCAAAAAAAACTTGAAAGTAATATGCAATAACAGAGAAAGTGACGAGGAAATACTGATGACACAAACATAACCAATAATGATGAAGACTTTTCCGGCGGGTTTCAAGTTGTAATGAGTGAAAAGAATGACTCTATTGAACTGACCGATGATTTGCAGCCGTTAATCAAAAAGGTGCGCACCGTTGTGAAATTTTTATTTCGCCGTTCTCCGACAAAAAATGATCAAAATTCAAAAACGCACGTTAGAAAAATTTGATAAAGATATTCCACTAATACTTGGATCCAAAACTAGCTGGGTTAGCTTGCACACAGTACTCGAACGTTTTGTATAATTGAAAAAATGCATTCACGAGTCACTTTTTGCCCTTGAGTCCAAAGTTGAGGTAACTAATAATGAGTCCGATGCAATATTAGCTGTTAACTTATGTCTTGCGCCAGTAAAACTGGCTGTGGAAACATTGTGCCAAAATCATGCAACTCTGTTTTGTGCTGATACAACATTTTCATGATAGATAACCTTTGAGAAATCGATTTAGCTGTAAAGTTATGTTAGTGCAACAATTCAATGAGCAACGTACTCTTTTTCCAGCATACAACATTTTTTGCACAAGGGACATCAACGTTACAAGAATTTGGATCTAGCTCTATCTTTTGAGCACCATAGCAAATTAGCCATTGTAAATACCATTACTCGACTGAAAGATCGGCTCAATCAGAAAGGGTATAGTCCTCTCCCTTTCACCAGCGTTTTTTCCGATAGTGATTCTGTGGACATCGCTGTAAACTTGTCATTGAAAAAAAAGCTTGACTTTGCAATTTTAAAAAATAAGAAATGTAACAACAAGGGAAAATTGAATGTTTTGAATAATTCATCAAAAATTATATGTATTGAAATAGGAATTTTTGAAGAAGGAGGAAATCGTTGTATATATTTGCAAAATTCCTACCATTACTTGAAAACTGTGAAGCCAACAAAATTAGATGATCTTTTGAAGATGATGTTCTGAACGCCCTATGTTTTTTACGGGCTCATTTTACAAAGCAGAAAAAAGCGAAAAATGAAAAAGTCAGTAGTTATGATATAAAATTAATAAGCCGATTGAATCAATAAAATTTTTACTATTAACTTGAGATTTTATTTAGATTATGATAAGTTTAAAAATAAAGTTTAATACCGGTATTATACAGGTATTACCGGTATTGTAATTATTTAGTACCGATATACCGGTATTGAAAAATGGTATCGGTATTGGAAGCACAATATATATATATATATATATATATATATATATATATATATATATATATATATATATATATATATATATATATATATATATATATATATATGCATAACTACCAAAAGGAGGGGGGGGGTCAAAAAGATAATTGCACGAGCACATTTTTATCCTCTCCATATCCCTGGTTAGAGAACTGAACAAATATCGAATTTTAATCATACTTTTTTATATATACTATTGGTATACTTATATACTTTGAATATTATAGTATATATTCAAAAATTATATATGAATACAAAGCAATCAAATGTATATTTATAATAGACGATATTCGAAATTAATTTTAAAAAGCGAGAAAAATTTTTCCGTGCGTATTTACATAAAAAAAGTAAATATAAACAATGTAAAGTGGAAATAAGTGATAAACAAATTAGTTATTAAGATATATTAACAACTTAGCAATTTTTAAAAATTTGTTTTTAAAACAAGAAGAAAATATTTAAAAATATACAGATTTTTCTCTAAAAATAAGTTTGTAAATAATTAAAAATATTATCCTATGGCTGGATGATGGATATAAAACTTCAACAACTCTACACAGTATTAAAGATTTAGATGAACTAATGATTAACTTAAATTAAACCAAAGTATGTAGTTTATAATAATATTTGTGAAACAAAAGTATTACATTCTACTTTCTTTTACAAACAAACAATACACTATATACATATTAAACAAATATATATATGTATATATATGTATATATATATATATATATATATATATATATATATATATATATATATATATATATATATATATATATATTTGTATTGTATTGTATTTATTAGGAAAAATAAAACTTTATATATATATATATATATATATATATATATATATATATATATATATATATATATATATATATATATATATATATATATATATATAAAGTTTTATTTTTCCTAATAAATACAATACAATACAAATATATATATATATATATATATATATATATATATATATATATATATATATATATATATATATATATATATATATATATATATTAACATAGAGAGAGAGAAAGTGAGAGATATAATGTATATTTTAATCTGTCAGTCTTTGTACAAGGGGTTGGACATATTTGCGATTGCTGCACAAGTTATCAAAATATCATTTGCATGTGGAAGTAAAGTCAGTGGCAATTCATTACTTATAAGACGAAATGTTTTTAATATTCCAATAACTTTTTCCACATGAGTTCTAATTTTAGCAATTGAACTTGTTTTCTTAACTTCAAATGGTGTCATGTGATGTTCCTTGCCGACCAAGTGGTACTGTAAAGAATAAATGTTGAGCATTGCATTCATTATGCAAATAAAACTTTTTGCTGCCATAACTATAGAAAAAGGAGATAAATAAATCAAGAAAACTACAATCCATAGTTAAGGCTTTGTCAGATATGCGACCGGTATAAGCTTCTCATATATAAACAATAAAAAAATGAGGAGCAACACCTATTAAAAACATTAAAGTATTGTGGTGTTTATATTCAGACCAAGTAACACTTTGCTGTTCCAAGTTTCTTGGGGTTTGTATGAAAATTTCTGAACAGTCAATAATAGCTGCCAAATTTTTATATTTTTGTAATTGTAAAGGGCTTGTTTCATTTAATGTGCCAAGGTCTGGTACAAATATTAGATGGTTAAAAACTTCTACTGATGCTCTTATCCTAGTATGAAATATTTTGGAATATGTGCCAATAGAAATATTAAAATGACTAACAAGATCTTTGTTAAATGATCCTAATCAAAGTTTCATTAAAGTCAGCAGAAACTCATCTTTTGAACATTATTTTCTTGCACATCCTACTTTTTTTAGTGTCCCACTGATAGTTCTTTTAACAGGAACAAAATTAAATCGTTTTTTAACATAAGGGCTTATAAAGTCATGCAATTTGTTAAATAACTCTAAAGAAACAAGATTTGTATAAAACTTTATGTTACTGTTTGATAGGAGTTTCTTATACACAAATATAGGTTTAGTTGGTTGCATTATAATTTTGTTTTGAAGTTTAATATTTTCAGCTTTTAACTTCTTTATTTCTAAATAACAGATGATAATTATAGCAAAATGGTTAAAATTAAAAAGACCATTTGAGTTTTTTTAATTTTAACCATTTAATTGAATATTATTTTCAGTATTTGAGTCAAACAGACTTTTTAATGCTAAAGTAATAAGATCGTCTGTCAATATTTCTGAAGAAAAAATAGAAAAAACTTTATTATGCATTACCAAAGTGTTTTTGCTAATGTTTGTTTGGATTTCAGTTTTGAAAGTAGAGTTCTTTAAACTGTTTTTTTTTTTAACATATTAGCATTTATTTTATTAACTGCTGTAATCGCAGATGCATTTTTACAAGTAGAGGCGGATATAATGGCTGTTTTCGTTGAAAATGAATCAGAAATTGTGTTTTTATTTTGTTTATTTATTGGTTGATTACAATTACATGAAACAGAAGGAACCAATTGTCTTATTTTATTTAATGCGTTGTATCCCAATAGTTCTGTAGGATGTTCATATTTTTCATTATTAAATGTTTTGAACAAATTTTACTGTACTTAGTAGCTTCCCATTGAGATTTGTTTGAATTTACCTGGTTTATCAATTTTTTCCAAATAGATTGACGTTCTGGGTCTTTTTTTATAGTAGGAAAAGGAATGAGTTTAAATGATACAGAACAGCAGCAATTAGGATCTTTTCTTGAGCATTTATGAATTTCACAAATAGCTTTTTTTCACTTTTTAAGTTTGGTTGAGTGATTGTAACAACCAATGACAACATGAGAAAGTGATGTTGCCGTATTAAGCAAATAATTAAACTAATATAAACAAAATCCACTGTTACTTCTTATGCTGTTTGTTTATTTTATTTATTCTATATCTACTTTTTTGTGTAAAATACACACGAAAGATTCAAGTTTCTTATTATTCCGGAATTAAAAAAATTTCGAATATTGTCTATTGCTTTTATTCAGTAATTGGTCAGCTTTACATTAATAAAATCTTCAAGATTTTGCTTAAATTTTTATTTTGTTTAAGTTTTTATTCTCGTAAAGCTGACCAATTACTAAGTAAAAGCAATTGCATTTTTATTCACCCGGCCTAAGGACTCTACCACTAAAATTTAATTATCTTGTTTCGAATCATTTTTTTAATTATATTTTATATAGATAGTCTATTTCTGATTGTTCACATATACCCCACAGTTCTACCTTTGTGTCACAAAAAAGATTTACTTTGTTCTATTTCTTCCATTTGCTCCTTATCTCCCCAGATTCATTTAATTCTACCTTATTTACAAAGAAAAAAGAAGATTTTTTTAAACATAATTTATACATTAGATAACTCTTATAATCTCTTTTATAATTCTTAGAAAAATATACTTTTACAAAGATTTGTCACTATTTAATTCAGTCAAAATTAGTTTTTCAATTCTTGATAAATCAAATCAAATCTTGTTTTTTAACATTTAAATGTATAAAGTTAGTGATCCATCAATTGAGACTCTGAACATCATTGTTTATCATCATTTTAATAATTTTTGTATTTATGTATAGGTATATATCAATATCCATAAAGAGTTTACTAGAAATTCAGCCAGACATAATTTTTTATGCAATCATGTGGTGCCTTATTGGAATAGTCTACCAGATTTTGTTGTTGCTTCAAAGACAATTGACCAATTTAAAAATAACTATGACAAATGGATTATTTCAATCAATTGTCCGTCTACTATGGGTGGGTAACCATAGATTCATAGCTCATAGAAGTTTCAAACTTTTATTGTAGAATAAAAATAATAATAATAATAATATATATATATATATATATATATATATATATATATATTTATATATATACATTTTAGCGATTTTAGCGATATCGCAGAGTTTTCGTTTATGGCATTTGGCGGCTCGACATCATCGAGTTTACAGAATACAGATCACATGTCTAATCGATCATAAAAATATAGTAAAAATGATTAGTTCCTAGCAAAGTTTAGAAATAAAATTGGTTTATAGCACATCTTTATATGATTTCAAGCACAAGCAAAGCCAATTTTAACTTTTTTAGCAAAAACAATTATAAATATTTTAACACTTAGCAATAGAAAACGTAACTTTTTTATGCTTGTTTGAACACAATTAAAGACAATAGTTTATTATACAAAATGGCAACAAGGTTTCCATTGTTCATTCTAAAATATGATAAATAACTTCTAAAATCTAAATGTCCACAAGATTGTCACGATTGCATTTGGAAAAGTCTTGTCTGTGTTTTTTAACAACCTGAAGTAGAAATTGTTTCTGTTTTTCATTCTTTGTTATTGCTGCATTAAAATTTTGGATGAGAGCAACGCCCCACTCAGCACAATCATTAACACATGGCAAGTTATTGACAAGTTGACATGCCATCTGATAGGAATGGTTTTTGTTCCACTCTTCCACTGGAATATCGAGAAAGCTGTCATCAATGGCAGTAACTAGGAAGAAACTTCGAGAAATGAGTAATTCCGCTGTTGTTTTTGGAAGAGACTTGAGCAAATGCGATCCTCTATCACCTTTCATTGTCCACACAAGCTGGGTTCTTTCTTTAGAAGACATATGCTGAGAGAACAAGGAAACTGTTGCTAGCTCTTAACTGAGGTACCAGGAGTGACGCTTCATCATCTTCAAACCTTTTGTTTGCAAAGCAGCATTTTCATACGTAAGCAGCCTTTGAATCAATAGAATATCATTCAATGGTGCATCAGCAATGGCTCGACTTGAAAACCAAGATTGAATATAGACATTGACAGCAAATCTATTAAATCTCTGAATGCCCTGTAATTCACGAGCAGTCAACTGTATAACAGTTTCATTACCATCAAAAAGCAATTCTATCTTCATTGCATAAATCGCCTTGGCCATCCAACGTGCTCTGTGAATGGTACCAGGCTTGCGAACTGGTGCCGTTCACAGAGCACCACCTTCATCTTCAATTTCCACATCTTCATCTTCAGTTTCCACATCTGCCTGCATTAATTGCTGTCCTGCTGAAGCTGCCCTTTGCTGGAGTACTAATCGTTCTTTACATTTTGCTGAACGCTTATTGTGGAAAAACATTTTATTGTCCATAGATCCAATGCATCCGCTTCTAGATTCTTTCTGCAACTTTAGAAACTGTCAGTCTTCCTCATTCTTGATAAGATTGTCTGAATCAGCATGACTGATATCAAACAAAATATTCAGCTTTTCATTGTATTCTTTTTGGTTCTGTTGATCCTTAGCATTATTCCTTGAACAATGTTTCATTAGTCCAACATGCTGTGAGTAAAGATCTTTAATCTTTTGAACAATATCTGGTTTGTGTCGGACCAGTAATCTCGATTTCATCCAGAAGGGCAGTAGTTGGTCGTGTACTTGCTGTGCACTCTGAGCAACTGTCAGTTTCTACTTGTTTACTTCCTCTGGAAGTAAACAAATTTTTGCATAACATCACGACCTGAAGGAAGGCGAGCTCCAGTTATTATGTCACATGGATGGCCAATCAACCAGATCATGTCGGTACTTTGAGTTGTGTTAGGTTTACACTTTGCCATTGCTCCACAGTCTTTATTCTACAATAAAAGTAAAAAACTTGTAAAAAGTAAATATATAAGTTATCTAAAAAATCTGTTTTTAATAATTTTTGTTTAATTTCTGCTTCTCACTTGTAGAATATAATCTTTACTAGTATTTTGTTTTTTTATGTATAGCTATTTGAACAGTGCCAAATTAGTTTTAGTTGAATAAAAGGCGGGGGTGGATTTTAGAAAAAGAGTTACTTTGGTCAATTTTTTCCCGATTTATACAAAAACTCTAGACCCTTAGGGGACCCCTAAATATTTTTCAATTGTCATAAAAAAATTTAGTTGTTATTGTGGGACCATTAAGAAACTCTTAAGAGGGACTGCATCAAAATTATCCACAAAAAATTTTATCAGTGATAAACATGGGACACCCTAATATATATATATATATATATATATATATATATATATATATATATATATATATATATATATATATATATATATATATATATATATATATATATATATATATGTATATACATATATATATATATATACATATATATATATATATATATATATATATATATATATATATATATATATATATATATATATATATATATATATATATATATATATATATATATATATTATATCCATTTATTTAACCATTAAATTGAAAAAATTACAGATTTATTTATAATTTTACAAAGTTAGGTTTGGTGTCACTCATAGTTAAAAACTAGTTGGTGGAGTGACACCTTAATAAAATAAAAAAATAAAGTAAAAAATAAAAAGTAATAATATAGATAGTGATCAAAAAAATAAATATATAATAAAAAGAAGAACAATAACTATTAAACAAGCCAAGCTAATGTAAAAACAACATAAAAAAAGAAAAAAAGTGAATGACCTGATATGAGAGATAATGAATGAATAAACACAACGTTTAACCATCAGAAGGATGATAGAAAATAAAAAATAAAACAAATGGATTTATTTAAGTATTGTGATGAGATAAGAATTATGAAATTACTTGAATAATAGCAACAAATGTAAAACACAACAATAATAAGCAACAACATTGTGCCAACATTCATTTCTCCAATTTGAATTCCTTTTATATTTTCTAAATATCTTTAATTAGATCTTCTGTATAAATTAAAAATAATAATAATAATGAGGCCCACCTTGCTTTACACCAATTGTTGTTTCATATATTTCTGATTTCTCATTTTTATTATTTTGTACATATACTTTTGATACCTCATAATATTTTTTTAATATACACCAGTATTTATAACTCATTTTCCAATCATCTTATTTACCGGGTTGTTACAATTTACTCTCATATGCTTTTCATCCATCAAATGCACACACTAATATGTTTTTGTTTTTGCTTTTATTATGTTTTTTTTTAGTTCAAGCATTACTGTTACCACATCACTGCATGAACTGTCCTTCCAAAATCCAAATTGTAAGGCTGATAAATTATATAAAATATTTTAGTTATCAATATTCTATTTACTTTAGTTATTAATATTGTATTTTTCAGTTAATATTCTATTTATTTTATCCTAACTATTTATTTTAACAATTAATTAAATTTTTTTTTATAGTGTTGCTAAAGTATATTTGTTTCTATATCTACATTATTATCAGTTGTATTTCTTATCTTCATAGACTTCCAAAATAGCTTTTTGTCATTGTTCCATAAATTACATAATTTTACATTAATTTAGTTAACAGTAATTCTTTTGTTCTCTTGGTTTTTGAGTTAGTTTGTTGTTTATTTCTAAAGATTTTCTTTTCAAATATATACATATTTCGACTTTACATCAGTAAAACCTGTTACTCTGCATTTGTTAAGCCAATAATTTTTGTCTTCATAAAGTTTTTTAATATCTTCATCCCATCAGTAATTTTTTTTGTTTTTTTATAGTTAGTATTCATATCTTTTTTATTAATTAATTTTTTAACAGAGTCCTTTAACAATCGACTAAGATTAATTATTAAGTTTTCTTTAATTTCTTATTTCTTTCTTTGCATGCATTATGTACAGTCTACTCACTAAATAATTTTCGTCCATGGATGATTTGAGTTATGTATGCATTTTACAAAATATGTTTTAGAATATTTCATTTGATTAATTTTTCATAGTTTTTTAGCTATGTTATTTAAATAAAAAATTTCATGTTCTTTAATTAATTTATTAATCATAAGAAAATAAAATAATTTTCATCTAATACAAAAACACTAGGTTTAAATTTTTTTTGAATAAAAAATATTTTAAGGGGTCAAGACACTGGGATAGTTTTTCGATTAGCCACTTCAGGCAGACTAAGTATGAACCCAGGGAGGAGGGGGTTGTTTAGAAAGAGGTATCAGTGTATGTATGTGTGTGTGTGTGTGGGGGGGGGGGGGAATGTTTGTAAAATGTTGAAAATAAATGATGTGACCAGAGAAATAGGTGGGGGGAGAAAAATAGTGTTTTTTTGTGCTTCAAAAAACATGCCTCTCTATAACTAGGTTTCATGAAAGTCTTTATATAAAAAAGTAAGAGCTCCATTGCTCAACTGCTGAAGAGATCTAAAGCAAAGAAACAACACCAAAATATTTTTGTATTATTTGTTAAATCTAATAAAAGAAGTATGAGAAAAAAACTATTCACTGTTTTTATATGAGTTATATTTTTCAGTAGAATATCCCTTATCTAGTAAGTTATAATTTTTTTAATTTTCTTTTAAAAAAAGTGAGCATGCCAAAAGTAAAAGGTAAAAATGTTGTAAACATTATTTTTACCTTTTCTATGTACTCCACCAAAATTTGTGTTGCAATTGTCAGAACAAAAAGCAGCTAATTTTTTATTAACTTCATGACGCTGCAATGTTGAAATTAACTTATCAGTCAATATTTTAAATGCTTCACCGTCAACAGATTCAAAATCCAGAAGTTTTACTTTGACACCTCCCAGCGGTAGAAAGTACCTAACAACAACTGGTGATAGTTTTACTTCTCTTCTATTTGATGTGTCATTAGAAACACTTAGAAAATGTGTTCTTCTGTAAGTCATCATGTAACTCTTTTACAGATAAAGGTGCCAGAACTTTTAAAATTATTGCTTGATATTTGGTTCTTGCAGCACCAAATTTCAGTTAAAAAACTTTAAGATCCAGTTTTGAACTACAGTCAGATGTTTTGAAGCTCAAATCATGCATTGCTGTGTGAATGACAAATGTAGCCTCCTTTGCTGCATTAACTAAATCACCTTCATTGGGTCTATCATTTTTAAAAGATTATTTAATAAATGAAGAACATGCGGCAGCCAAAACTCTAGCTACACATACACTAATAAAGTCAACGGTTAGCGTTATTCAAGATGATTCCAAAAAAAGACTAATTCCTGATAAAACCTTTCCAAAAAAAGACTTTTGATTCCTGATAACAAAAGAAACCGGTAAATCATATTAAATTATAAGAGTCATTTTAACATGGTTTACTTGTTTATTCATATCAGGTTTTTCCCATCCTATATGAATGCTTTCTTTAATTTTTAATTCAATTTCGTTTTTAGCACGATCCAAAATTGTAAATCATTATAATTCTTAAGACATTTTTCTTTTGAGTGAAGATGTTTATAAATAAAAGAGTTTTTATCCCTTCTGTAGTGTTCAATCACTCGCATCTTTAGGTGGCAAGAAGTTTCGCCAATATATATATATATATATATATATATATATATATATATATATATGCACTAATATATATATATATATATATATATATATATATATATATATATATATATATATATATGCACTAATATATATATATATATATATATATATATATATATATATATATATATATATATATATATATATATATATATATATATATATATATACATATATATATATATACATATATATACACTTACTAAAGCGTGTTTTGATAAGCATTTGCTCACTTTTTCTGCTTACCTTAAGCTATACCGTTTTTTTTCGAAAAAGAAGAAAATATGAAGAATAATGAATAAAACAATTGCTTCTCCATCCCAAACCCTCAGTCGATGTAGCAGCACTCCACTGCGAGTCAGGCTATTTGTCAGTCGATGTATGTACTGAAGCCCCTAGCAGCAGGCTATTTCAGTATGACGTCAGATTGCTTACCTTAGTACGCAATACTATTTGTATATATATAATATATTAGTGCATATATATATATATATATATATATATATATATTTTTTGTAGATGGCACAAGAGACGCTGGCTCTTTAGAGCAGTGCCCATTATAGTATTTGTAGAAAAGAGAAAGAGAAGCAACATTACGACGATGTGACAGAGGTTGAAGGTTGGCTGCAAGAGCAGGTCCAACTATGTTTACAATGCATTTTTGCACCTTGTCTAAAAGAGAAAGGGCATTATTAGAAGATCCACCCCAGATATGGCAACAGTATTCCATACAAGACCTGATTTGAGATTTATAGAGATAGAGAATAAAATCCAGAGTAAGAAAATGAAAGATGCTAATTTTGCAACGGATTTGATATAAGGTTTCCAAGAAAGATCAAAAGTAAGAGTTAATCCTAGAAGATGAAGGGTAGGAGACTCATCGAGTACATTACCGTTCATAAATATAGGAAGGTCTAAATTATTGCGATAATGATTGGCTGAAAAAAATTGAGTTTTATCTGAATTAAAGTTCACCAGCCACTGTGAGCTCCATGCTGTGGCAGAAGTGAGATCCTTTTCAAGCTCAGATGCCCCCTGCAAGTAATCAGAGGGAGTTGGCTTCTTATCATGACAAGAATAAATGGTAGTTTCATCAGCAAACAATGCCACTTTAGATGTGAGAATTTCTGGAAGATCGTTAATGTAAATTAAAAAGAGTATAGGGCCAAGGATTGAACCTTGCGGAACCCCTAAGGTTACAGAATAAGAAGAAGAGTGCTGTCCATCAAGGACAACTTTTATAAAGGTGTTTCCAGATACACCGTAAGAAGAAAGCTTATAGAGGAGACCAGCATGCCAAACTTTATCAAACGCTTTAGAAATGTCAAGAGGGATGGCCTTAACCTCTCCACTTTTATCTAATGTGCGATAAAACCTATCGGTTGTTACTGTTAGCAAATCAGCCGTAGAACAAGAAGATCGAAATCCATATTGATGATCAGAAAGTAGGTTATGAGATTCGAGATTAAGTGTTTGTTAATTTAATTCAAAAACCTTGCTTATGATAGGAAGAAGACTAATGGGACGGTAGTTAAACGAATCGGATCGCTCTCCAGAATTTTTAAAAATGGGGATAACAGATGCTGCTTTCCAGCAGGCTGGAAAACAAGGCTCTGATAAGCACTTGTTAAATAGTTTTGAAAGGATAGATGACAGCTCCGAAGAACACTTCTGCAAGACTATAACAGGTATGTTGTCCGGGCCGCAAGCTGTATAAGAGTTTAAGCAGAAAATCACTTTAGATACAGAAGCTGGAGTGATACGGATGTCAAGCAGTGGATCAACCTGTTTGACGGCTTTATCAGGTAGAACGCAACTAGTGGAATCAAGAGATGATATTGATGAAAAGTTCTTGGCAAACAATTCAGCTTTGTCTTTAGGTGAGGTGACAAAGTCTGAACCGTACAAAAGAGGTGGAATTACAGACTTGCCCTTATTATTGATACTATTAAAGATTCTCCAGAAGTCACGAGAGCCTAATTTTTGTGATGAAATACGAGATTTCATGATCTGAGAATAGCGGGCTTTGGCATTATACAAAACCATTTTACAATGGTTCCTAGCAGTAATAAACAGGCGTCTGTTTTCTGGAGAATTGCTTTGCTGATAGATATGGAAGTAATGGTTTCGATTGGCAATTGCAGCAGCACAATATGAGGAAAACCATGGAGAAGAGTGAGGTTTGACCTGGAATCGTCGAGAGGGAATAAAGGATTCCATGCCAGTCTGAATCCACAAAGTTATGTAAGAAGCACATTTGTCAACAGGAAGACGAAAGATTTCTACCTAAGAATGAGGGCTTGGTCAATATAATCAGAAATGACATCAAGAAGAGTGCAGTCTTAAGATGAAGGAGAGCAATATAGAACAAAGAGAAAGGTGATAGAATGAAGTGGTGCTAAACAAAAGCACATAAAAGAGTAGTGTGTGGATTCAAATCTAGTTTCCCGACAAATGGGTGAATTCTTACGAATTTAAATGCCTAGGCCAAGCATGTGATTATTGGGGTCTTTACGAATTAAAGGAAGATAACCATCAACTCTAAAATCACAAGATGAGACAGCTGAACTCAAATTAGCTCATAAAGTGAAAGTAGGTCTGGTGAAGTTTGCAAGAGATTTCTTATTTTTCGAAAACTATGACCATATAAAGTTTTAACCCCCCTCAATTTATAGGGGCTGTAAACTTTGTAGGGTCATAAAAACTAAAAACTAAGAGGTTATTGCCTGAAATTTGAAATTTGTTGATGAATATAAACTTAGATAAAAATAATAAAGAAATTATTTTATCAACTTGTTGCTCCCACGTTAAGGGCTGGGTGGGCCCGAAAATTGGGGTTTTTTTGTCACCAAGCTCCAATCACGACAACTTTTTGCAAAACATTCTCATTTGACATAAGTATAAACATACAAAAGTTTGGAGTTTGCAAAATGTGTGTAAGTGTCAAAACTCAAACATCTAAATATATATATATATATATATATATATATATATATATATATATATATATATATATATATATATATATATATATATATATATATATATATATATATGTATATATATATATATATATATATATATATATATATATATATATATATATATATATATATATATATATATATATATATATATATATATATATATATATATATATATATATATATATATATATATATATATGCAGGTTTACGTTTGCACATAAAATTTTTTCCAAACATAAAATAATTATTAAAAGTTACCTTTATTTCTTTTTTAAAAAATATCTTTTATAATTTCAATTTGATAAGTTTTTAAACTTTTTTGACATGCTTTTTTTAATTTTTTATGTTTTGTATTAATGATATTGTTGTTTTATTATATTTTAGCATATGTTTTATACCAAAAAAATCCTATTTTATGTGAAAACTTTTTGTACAATATCTAGAAGCACATAAGTAAAATAGCATATGTAGCAAATAAAATAAAATATAGATATTTATTTTTTTATACATATAAAAAATCTGTTATGGTATGTGATGAAATTTTTAAAACAAAGTGAAACATGAGTAATTTAAAAATTATCAATTTTTAAAAGTTAACATTATAGATAAGTTTTTATATAATTAATTAAGTTTATATAATTAATTAAATTAACTCAAATTAGCTCATAAAGTGAAAGTAGGTCTGGTGAAGTTTGCAAGAGATTTCTTATTTTTCGAAAACTATGACCATATAAAGTTTTAACCCCCCTCAATTTATAGGGGCTGTAAACTTTGTAGGGTCATAAAAACTAAAAACTAAGAGGTTATTGCCTGAAATTTGAAATTTGTTGATGAATATAAACTTAGATAAAAATAATAAAGAAATTATTTTATCAACTTGTTGCTCCCACGTTAAGGGCTGGGTGGGCCCGAAAATTGGGGTTTTTTTGTCACCAAGCTCCAATCACGACAACTTTTTGCAAAACATTCTCATTTGACATAAGTATAAACATACAAAAGTTTGGAGTTTGCAAAATGTGTGTAAGTGTCAAAACTCAAACATCTAAAAATATATATATATATATATATATTTATATATATATATATATATATATATATATATATATATATATATATATATATATATATATATATATATATATATATATATATATATATATATATATATATATGCAGGTTTACGTTTGCACATAAAATTTTTTCCAAACATAAAATAATTATTAAAAGTTACCTTTATTTCTTTTTTAAAAAATATCTTTTATAATTTCAATTTGATATAAGTTTTTAAACTTTTTTGACATGCTTTTTTTAATTTTTTATGTTTTGTATTAATGATATTGTTGTTTTATTATATTTTAGCATATGTTTTATACCAAAAAAATCATATTTTATGTGAAAACTTTTTGTACAATATCTAGAAGCACATAAGTAAAATAGCATATGTAGCAAATAAAATAAAATATAGATATTTATTTTTTTATACATATAAAAAATCTGTTATGGTATGTGGTGAAATTTTTAAAACAAAGTGAAACATGAGTAATTTAAAAATTATCAATTTTTAAAAGTTAACATTATAGATAAGTTTTTATATAATTAATTAAGTTAAAACATCTGTTATATATGTAAACTTATCCTATATAATTCTTTATAATAAAATACAATATTTCTAGGGGTTATATATACCCTCGTTATTCAAGTAATTATTTTTTAAGTAATTACTTGAATAACGGGGGTATATATAACCCCTAGAAATATTGTATTTTATTATAAAGAATTATATAGGATATGATTACATACTATCACAGATGTTTTAACTTAATTAAAAATTATCAATGTTTTTACATGTCTCTGAACTTTTGTTGTTTTTGTTGCTTTTTATATCAAATTTGTTTCATTTTGTACTTTTAAAAATGATAATTACTTTTATAAAATGAAGTATATTGCTAATGATTTCTAGTTGTATAAATGGGCAAGTTGACAGAGTTTGCAATCCTCTTTGATCACAATCGTGAAGTATTTTATCCTGGCCAAAATGTGTCTGGTTGTGTTGTCATGACGTTAAGTAGCCCAATGGAAATGAGAGGAATCAAGTTATTGGCTCAAGGTAAAAGCAAAGTTAATGTACTTTTATGTAAATTAAAAGGTAATGTAATGTTGGTTTTACAGTCTTTATTTTAAACTATTATAGTTTAAAATAGTAATTAAACTGATATTTGATGGTATTTTTAAAGATTTTTCTAATTTTAGAAAAAAAAATTCTTCTAAAATCTTTAATAAATCTAAAAATCATTTTCTATGGTATATTTAAATGTCTATTGCTTCTATGGTATATTTAAATGTCTATTGTAACAGTTTTAGTAAGGAATTTTATGATTATAGTTTTTTAGATATTTCAGTTTTTTTTTTCTGTAATTGCTGAGAAGTTTTAAAGAGTTTTTTTATATAACTTTTTTTATACATCAAACATGATGTTATGAGTTCAATAAGCACATTTCTTAATTTGTTTTTAGTAGAGCTGCTTCGTTACTATAAGCTTATTAAGAGTTTGTATATTGTTTTCTAAAGAGAACGAGTCTTTAGATGTCTAGCAAAACTATCAAGGCTGAGCAAACTAGTTTAACATTAAGGATAAACTGAAAATATGCATTCATTTTATGATAGCATGTGAAAACTTTGGTGATATGTTATAAAGGATACTATTTTCAAGTGAGTTTTGTAAAAAAACTTTTCCAGAATTTGAGAATAAGAGGTTCTGTTACATATGTGGAATGGAATCATTTAGGTTAGAACAGAAGATTCAAAAGTTTAACTAATATATAGGTATAAATTCTATATGACTGTTTTGAGATGTTTTTATTGGCATTGAGGGCCATACTCTAATCTTTGTTTTGGAATAAAAAGACATTGATGTAAGTGTCGCTTTTTTGAAAGCTGCTGTGATTTTAATGTGCGCCAATAATTTGTCAATAATTAGCTTTGCTAATTATTTACAAAAGTCACACGTTGCATATTTTTATTGTTACAACATTTGGTATAACGATCATTAATTGTTGACAAGAGTCACAAGTTGTATATTTATATGCTATATATAGCGAATAATTTCTTTAGTAAAGTTCGCATTAGGTATTTCTACAAGAGCTTGTCCCAAAACAATACTACCTACTAACAACTTGGTAATAAATGGAAGAAAAGCTGCAGTGCTTGTGGATACTGGTTGCTTGCAATCAATCATCACCAAGACGTTACTGCCATCTGACTATAAAATTATGTGTGTAGCGGATGTTGCAACAATAAGCAGAATAATTCGATGTGAAGAAGTTGTTGCTAAAATACACCACCCAACGAGCGGGTGCTTGGTGGATATGTGTTGGTTTTATGTGTGGATGAAGTAATAAACAAATATGACATGATTATGGGTGTGGATCTAATAATGTCGCGTGATGAACTGAAAATTGGCACTGGAAAATTGAAATTCTGTAATTCTTTGATTAAGTTGTCATGGACACCTCATGTTGCAACAATTAAAATTGGAACAAGCAAAGCTTATTTTGATTGCAAAACATGGATTGAAAGTTGGGAGTGGAAGAATGAACCTAACATGAAAAACAGAACAAGTCAGTATAACATATCTAACCAACATCATGAGGCATTCAACAACAAAATTAATGAATGGATCAAAGAAGGCATACTTATCAAGTATAACAATAAAATTGTGTGAAAAGTTAAAGGATTATTACCATTGATGTGCGTCATTCAAGATAATAAAAAAGAACCAGTGCTTAATTATTGCGAACTTAAGACCTATCTAAAAGCCTTGACAAGGAATGCAGATGTCCTCAATGATGCAATGATTGATTGGAGACTCATGAGTAAAAATAGCAAGGACTCAAACCGTCATTTACAAAGATCAACAATATGTGCTTACACATTTGGGCTTGGTTTAAACCTAGCACTTGTGATGATGAGCTCAATACTTTGATAAGTCCTCCAATAAAATTCTCCACTTGCAAAATCAACAAGAGGATACATTGAACACCTTAGCAACCAATGGAAATAGAAGAAAACTGGTGGCACATATAAAGAAACAGGGTCTTCACGCAAAAGCACATAAATATTTTGGCGAAAACCCAGTTTGTGCATTAGAATTGGAAGTAACAGTAATACTATCTACAAAGGACATGTTTTGGAAAAGAAGACGCTAGATTCCCATTACTAAAAATGTGCTCAATGATATTCTAATTATGTGGTAATCTGGTTGCTAATCTATCAGTTGCTGGATGGTTAAGACTCGCATGCAGCTTTAAAAAGAGATGTACAAACGAAGTAGATTGGGATGAACCTATTACGAATAAGGAATAATAGGAAGTTGTGGATAAAGTATGTATTGAGTGTGGCCCAAGCAGATACACATTGTGGACACCATTTAGCGACCAAAGTGCAACAATGGTTGTTCAATCGTTAGAAACAATATGGTCATTGTTTGGATCTCATACTAAGCAAGCTATGACGTCGAAGTGGGAAATAAGACTTATTTATCGAGTTGTTGAAAAATCATTGGGAAAAGGAATTGTTGAAAGAGTTCATTGGATGTTAAAAAGAACAAATACGGTATACACATGTCTGTATTCTTAACCAACAACATTCCATCAAAACACGGCAAGCCTATTGAAATTTTTTGCCAACAATCAGGGATTATCTTTTTCCGGGTATATCCGGAATTCCGGATGTTTTTCTTAACTTTTAGTTTTTCCGGATATCCAAAACATTTTCCGTACATACAAGTTTAGGTAAATATTTTTGTAATATATTTGTTTTTTAATCTTTTTCACTCATCATTTAATGGAAAAGTGAAGATAGGTTTGGATAAAATATTTAAAACAACTCAGCTAAAAGCAAATTTAAGAGGAAAATATGTTCCGGATATTTTACCCAAACAATTTTCCGGATTTTTAAAATATGACCTGTATGATCTATGCAACAATACTAACGCATCCGAATTTCTTGAATTGATAAAGTTGAATCAACACAAAAGTCCCTGACTATGTTTCAAGGACGGAAAGTTGGTGATAAAGTGTGGTTGAAACCCAAGCTTAAGACACTGTGTATACAGCGATGGTTAAAAGGAAGTATAGTGTCACTGCATAATGGTTTAACAGCTAAAATTGAAGTCAACGGACATACAGTGTCACAACATTTTTCTCATCTGCAGCATCATCGTGTAGACAAAAAAAGAAGAAGATATAACAACTGATGACAAGTACAATCTGACACTGGTTAAACCTCCCAAAACAAACTTAAAACACGTCGCAATCAAAGATCCAAGTTCTTAAATAAATTCCCTGAACGATGGCACTGACAATAGTATGGACCACGCTGATCAAAACTATCCAACAAATTGTGTGACAGAGTTACAGCCTGTTCGGTTCACTCGCTTTGGAAGTAGAGTATTTTCTAACCGAAGGTATTATGATTATGTATGACCTCTAGTTGAGCTGGGGGAGATATAGTGATTTTAATGTGCGTCAATAATTTGTCATTGGTTAGCTTTGTTAATTATTGACAAAAGTCACATATTACATTGCATATTTTTAATATTATAACATTTTGTATAACGATCATTAATTGTTGACAAGAGTCAACAATTAATTTTAATTAAGTTGTATTTTTGAATGCTATATTAGTCATTTTTTGAAAAATGTTGAGGTTGTTGATAATTAATAAAAATATTAAAAGCAAAATGGTTTTTGAACGGCTAAAAAATATTAAAAGCAAAATGCTTTGAACAACTAAAGTGACTCAAAAGTTTCAACCAAGTTCATGATTTTTGAAAAAATGGTTAAATTAAAATATGGTAGTTGGCATGTATTTTGGAAGTGGTTGATAGATACACCAAAATTTAAAAACAGTTCAAAATTCAAATATCTGTAAATTTAAAAGTTAAGTATGTTAGGAAGTGAAACAGGAAGGAAGGAACAGGAAGGTTAAAACAAAGTTGGTTAAAACAGTTTTAGAAAAAAATATAATTGTATCATTCAATTATTGCAAATAGTTCAACTGAATAAATTAAAGTTGTAACTTTTTTAAAAAAATATTTAGTTCACATTCACAAGGTTGAGAGGGCCACTGCAGTTGAGGAAGCTACTTTATTGTAGTTACAACCCTCACCCAACTCTGAAACATGAACCTTGGCATACAGGGCCACTGCAGTCAGAACTAAGTTGAGCATGCTACTACCAAGAACGTGGTGGGGGTTCTCATGGTTCCATTAACTTTAATAAATGAATCCTGAAATATGCATCAAAGTGGGTTATTATTTTCTTCAGTTGCATACTTAGTTTTTTTTTTTTTTTTTTTTTTATTTGCATTCACTCCCAACAAGGCTGCAAGCAACCACTATTAAGTTGGGAGTTACTAGGAAAAAAAAAGAACAGAGTTATAGAGCAAGGAAACGGTTGACAGAAGACTTGAAAAGTTGAAGGTTGTATAAGTCAGGAAAACATGAAGATGGGAGAGATTTTCAAAGAATTGAAGTGCAGGGAAAAAAACTAGATGAATAAAAGTTTTTAGAGCATGCAAGGACAGATACAGTAAACGAATGAGACTTAGCTGAATTACGAGTAAAACGAGAATGAATTTTAGTTGATGGAACTAGAGATGATAACTCCTTTGAGCAGTGACCCTGATAGTACTTGTAGAAAAGAGAAAGAGATGCAACTTTACGACGATGGGAAAGAGGTTCAAGCTTAGCAGATAGTCCAGGTCCAACAACATTTACAATGCGTTTTTGGACCTTGTCAAGAAGAGAAAGTGAATCGTTAGAAGAACCAGCCCAAATATGACAACAGTATTCCATACAGGGAGGAATAAGAGATTTGTAGAGGTAGAGAATGGAATCAGAAGTAAGGAAATGGCGAGCACGATAAAGAGAAGCAACCTTAGCAGAAGCTAATTTAGCAATCGATTGTATATATGGTTTCCATGAAAGATCAGTAGTAAGCAATAATCCAAGAAGACGTAAAGAGGAGGACTCAGTAAGAGGATTGTCATTCATTAATATAGTAATGTTGACCATATTACGGTAGTTGTTTGCAGTAAGCAATTGGG